GCATCCTTATCTTTAGAGGTACATGAAATATTTACAAGTGAAATGATTCACTGCCTGGAATTTGCCTCAAAATAATCCAAAGGATGGGAATAGGGGAACAGAAGTAGAGATAAAATAAAGATTGGCAATGAGCTGTTAACTGTTGAAGCCAAGTGATGGATAAAGGGGGCTCCTTATACTGTCCCCTCTATTTTAGTTTATGTTTGACATTTTCCATCCTAAAAAATTTTTAAAAATGTAATCTAAAAGTCAAGACAATGGCTAACCTTGAAGAGAAGAGTGGGGGCCAGAACAAGGGCTCAGGAGTGGCAGGAATTTGGTTTTCTACATAGGTTTGTTCGCTTTGTGATCATTTATCAATGTGAATGACCTGCGCACTTCTCAGTATATTACCCTGCAATGAAAAAGTAATTAAAAAAAGAAATCTACTTTTTTAGTGTGAAGGGAATACCTTGTGGTAGAATCTCGGGTATTACAGCAATCACAGAGAAAGCTTTTTTTTGAGCAGAAAGGTAACAGAATACTGGAGGACCGCAGGCAAATGTCAGAATCCGGGCTCGGCTTCCTCCTGCCTGAAGGGGAACGGCAGCAGCCGCCTTGGCCTGCGGTTGTGAGCATTACACAGGGTGGTGCGTGTCCAGTGCTTGCACGGACCTGGCACAGAGCTGGCGCTGAACGAAGGCTGCATGTGCCTCTGCGTCCGCGGGCCGCTCCACTGCACCATGCGTACGCTGTCCTAAGCAGCAGTGCTGGCGTCCATCGAGATGTCGGCAGTGATCAATAACCTTCACCCGGATCTGCCGGCAGATCCCCACCGGCCCTTACAGGAATCACGAGTGAGACTGAAGGGAGGCGGCTCCGAAACCGCACCCCCATCCCGCTGCGCAGGCGGAACCGTCGCGGCGGCCCCTCGCCCACACACCCGCACGTTCCCCCACGGCCCGCGCTCTCCAATGGCGGCTGCGGGAGTGAGAGCCTCACATCGGGCCTCCGGCCTCCCCCAATCGGCGAGCCCGCGCCGAGCACCTCACAGCCGCCAGCTCGCCGCGTCCAACCGCAGCGCTCCACATAATGCGCGCGGCCCCGCGCTCGGACGCCGGCTTCCCACGGAGGCCACACTGCCCTCTACTGGCCTATCTGCAGCGACACAGCCGGGCGCCGCCCCGACCACGCCGTGAGGCCTCAGCACGCAGTACCAAGCGGCCGAACCCAAACACTCGATAAGACATAGCAGTAATGTCACGAAGCAGCGAAAAGTATGTCCGCTTTAAAGACGCTGTCACATTCTATTACACAGAAGGAAAAAAAAAACATTGTCTCTTGGTCTTCAAAGCGGGTTGGAGTCCCCAAACCTTATTTCATCTCACGTTTTATATAGGAGTAAAATCAAGGAGCCTAGGGACTCATTCATTACACATACGAGTATTTCTGGAGCACCTGCTATATATACGTCAGGCACTGAGGCAGGCATCATCATTTCTAATTTATAAGTACAGAAACAGAGGGCAAGTGACAGCTGAAAGCCGTCGAACTGAAATTCAATCCTCGATGTCTGCCTCCCAAGTGCAGACTCTTCACCACTACATAAGGAAGGTGGGAAGTGCTGTAAGAAAACAGTGTAGAAAAAATCAATTCTGACTGGATAGGGATTCAGGATAGGCAGAGGGGAGAACTGCCACAACGGTAGGGAAGTATTCACTAAAGTGGTAGCTAGTACTGCTTTTCCAAGTATACTAGTCTTAACAGAGAGGAGACAAGTACCTCCATGCAAGAGTGAGCACTGCAGATTATGGTACTCATTCTTTGGCGAACAGCTTCTGCTTACTCAGGTATCCATGGCAATATTCTCCTGGATTTGTGTGACTATACCCAGCATATAAGACGCCACACATAGTGGCCTCATCTCCTCATCTTCCCGTCATACTTAGGAAAGGGTTAACAATAAGCTTTCCTGGAATTCATGATTTCTTTATCTGTACTTCCACTGTACTTCGCTTATAATTCATAGATGGCACATCAGAACAAGCCTTGTTATATGATTATTTGAGTCCATACTGGTCTCATTAGAACAGTGGTTCCCCAAAGTAGTAGTATGAGCCCTAGAGGGCGTTTTAGAATATGGGGGTGTTTTTTGACTGTCACGACTAGAAGGCATTGCTGGCCCTTAATGGGCAGAAGACAGGGAAATTACATGATCTGCAATGCTAAGGTTGTCCCTGTTGAGATAGAATATGGGGGTGTTTTTTGACTGTCACGACTAGAAGGCATTGCTGGCACTTAATGGGCAGAAGACAGGGAAATTACATGATCTGCAATGCTAAGGTTGTCCCTGTTGAGACTTAGCATGATGAGTGTCCCACACATCAAAATGTTGTCCCTGTTGAGAGCCAGGGCTCTCAGTACAGAAGAAGGGAGATACAAATATGACTAGAGCAAGGCAAGGAAGAATCTCGTGAGGATAAACTGGAATTGGAGGTATCGGCATAAGCTCAACACTTCTAATATATAAATGTGTGCATGCATATATATGTTTACATTTATATGCATTCCTACTTTTCCCAACTCCGTCCACTGAATGGATCAAGAAGCAAAAATTCCACAGTAGTGAAAGGACACCTAGCACTCAGATCTTGGTTTCTAATGCCATTCCTCACTAAAAGGAACCAGAGCTCCTGGGAGAAATAGTTTATTCCAGGGCTATGGCAGGAAAGATGCAAGATGAGCCTAGAACACCTTGTTATGTGAGGGGAGAGGGAAGAGGGAAAAAATGGAAACTAGCTCAAAAGGGCTTCTACTAGCCAAATCTGGGACAATTGGATCATCAAAATAATTAAGGATGGTAATGAATGATTTTTAATAAATCCACAAACTGATGATATTTCAACATAATGTATGATAATAAACAGATAAATGAGAAAGAAAAAATGTAAGAGAAGGAAGGGCTCTTGCTTAGAGTAGAATACTGAGTGCTAACTAGTAAATGTGCAGGAATTGTTAGAATTGGAAAATAATCACTTTGCAACCACCACTGTAAAGATTGATTCAGGCTAGAAACACGAATGGATGCTAAATCTAAGGAGAAACTTTTGATAAGCAGCAGGATATTTGCATTGTATTAAAGTATCTTCCACTTCAGCCAGTTAGTCAGAAGGAAGAAAAACAGTAAATCTACAGTGGAGAAACCAGACACATTTCACTAGGAGATCACAGTTGACATCACCTGTCAAGGCATATGGATATCAGATGTGTTCATATCTGATACCCTTACAGGGACACAATATCTCTGAGAGTATTCTAGCTGGGTAAGCATAAGTTGAATATAATCATGAGGAAATAGCAGACAAACCCAAAAAGAAGAATATTCTATTACAAAAAGAGACTGGATTCTTTAAAAATAATGACAATGTCCTGAGAAACAAAGAAAGGATAAGGAACTATTTCCGATTAAAGAAGAGTAAAGAGACCTGACAACTAAATGCAATATGTGATCTAGACTGGATCCTGTATTGGAGGAGGAAAAATGCTATAAAGGATATAATTGGGTCAAATGACAAAACAGTGATACAAACAGATTAAAGTATTATATTAAGGTTAACATAACTGAAGTTAGCAACTGTGCTATGGTTTTATATAACAGACTCTCCTTACCTTAGATAACATACACTGAAGTATTCAGGATAAAGGGCTATAATGTATGCAACCAATTTTCAACTGGTTAAAAAAATGTGTGTGTACATATAGTGATTCCACATTCAAGTACAAGCATCTAGCTATTTCACTGTGCTTTTAAGTGTAGTTTTACCTAAGCATTTATTTATATATTAAAGTACATTTATTGTAAGTCACTTTCCTTTTGTTTCTTCTTTGTAGTATAAGGGAATTATATTGATTTTAAAAATACTATGTATAGACAGATTATATTACCTAAGAATTTAATTTCAGGATAATAAAAGAGTATTATAAAGTATTTGTTGTAAAAAGGCTATACTAGGTCTCTTATAGTAAGAATCAGACTGTCAGCTCCTTACGGAAACGCTATGATTGCTCATCCTCTGATCTTCCACAGCTCTGCTTTCACTGGCCCCTGCTCATACCCATTCCAGAGCTCACAACCAAATCTACTTGTACAATCACATTATCTGGGGAGAAAAGGATGATTTATTTGAAACCCCCAATAATGTAGCCATTTTAGACCGCTATGTCCCCTGCATTTATGGATCGGATCCACAGCCACACAGGTTCTTTACTCTTATCTAAGTCCAAAACAACAATGAAAGAAAATCTGGGGCAAAATATTAGATCAGCACTGGAATCAGTCCAAAAATGACATCAGTCTCATAAAACTATCACCAATCTATTTACTTTATTAATGTCCTGATGCAATGATGTCATATATACCAAAGGACAAGCAGAACCAAAAGTCTGAAGTATGTACACTTTAAAAAAGTGCTCATGGGGTCAGTGATTTCTTTTAGGCCTTGGCATTTTATAAAAGAAAGGATGCTATCTATGTAATATGACAAAGGGAACAGACAGGGGAGGGTTATAACTAAGAGCCTGGAAAGATGTTAGCCAACTATCTTACGTAAATGGCTTACATGAGATTCTTTCAAAACTTTGCTTTCAAAACTATCACTTGGTAATGGAATAGAGAAGAGTCAAAAGGGCTCTGAAGACCACAAGAGGAGCTAATGAAGAGATTGACAATAAAAAAAAGGATGAAGGCATAAAATATAAAATTCTGTAAAACAGGCCATATGAAAACTATATGATAAAAATGGGCAAAAGACAAGAATTGTTTACATAAGGTTAACTGTCAAAACAAAAATGAAATATTAGAAATGTACAGAATAGCACAAGTGATTTTGCCATAAGTAAAAGAAATGTCTAATTCTTTTTATGACTTAAAATGTTCTTATTATATACATCATATGAATATATGATGGTAGACATATGGAATGACTGAAAATAACGCATGTAATAGCCCAATAGGTACCTACCAAGGTGATAATGTTCTTTTTCTCTTGCTTCCCACTTGCGGCTGTCCACATATGCTGCAGAAAGCAGGCATCTTTTACCTGAAGAAAAAGGCAATTATTTCAACAGGCACAGGTTCATTATACATGTCTATTTTATTAAACACATCTTTGTCATATTTTCAACTAGTAGATCATATATTTTAAAAATTCTAATAACAATAGTGCAACCAATATTTCACAATACTTAACTAATAGTTGACAATTCAATTCATAATGAAGTGTATTCAACCTCTAACATGCAGAAAAACAAATTTTTCACAATAATTTTATGGGTATAAATGATAATTTTGTTCCTATAACTTTAGAGCTAGGAGCCATTTGTTGCCACCAAATTATAGACCAGGTGAGCCTCCAAACTCCTTCTTAGAACCCAAAACACCTGCTCTGCTTGTGCTCAACTCACTGATTGAATGCCTTATAAGCATTATTATCATTTGCCAGTCATAAAAACATTCCTTCTGACTTGGATCAGTGTACTTACCCCTATTTCACATAAAGCTAAGAGTAGTATCTCACCCAGTGACCCAGCACTCTAGTCGCAAATAAGAGAAACTCAGTAAGCCCAATTTGAGGTAACACACAAGATGGCATAGCTGTATTCTCAGCACCTGGCACAAAGTCTGGCATACAGCAGTGCTCAATAAACATGAGCTCAAGGAATAAATGAGAATGAATGAATGAATGGCAATTTCATCAAAATTTAAAACTGTGCTTCAAAGGACTCTCTCAGGAAAGTGAATGAGCAACCCGAAGAATGGGAGAAAATATTTGCAAATCATTTATCTGATAAAGGACTTGTACCCAGAATATATGGACAACTTTTACAATTCAAAAATAAAAAAGACGGCCAGCCCGGTGGCGCACTGCTGTAGTGCGCCGCTTGGGAAGCGCGGCGGCGCTCCCGCCGAGGGTTCGGATCCCACATGCAGACCGGTTCCCGCTCACTGGCTGAGCGAGGCACGGGAGCAACACCGAGGGCTGCGATCCCGTTGCCGGTCCCAGTCCGGTACGGGGGCGACACTGAGGGTTGCGATTCGTTGCCGGACACGGAAAAAGACAAAAAAATAAAAAAATAAAAAAGACAACCCAACTGAAAGATGGACAAAGGATTTAAAAAAACATTCTCCAAAGAAAATAAAACAAACAAAGGCAAAACAAAATCATCCAGAGATACCACTTCACACCCACTAGAATGACTACAATCAGCAAGCAACTAATGACAGCAGTTGGTGAGGATGCAGAGAAACTAGAACCTCATACTTCGCTGGTAAAAATGTAAAATGGTGCAGCTGCTTTGGAAACAGTTTGGCAGTTCCACAAAATGTTAGTATCCACCACACATCTCAGAAATTTCACTTTAGGTAGATACCCAAGAAAAATGAAAACCTGAGTCCACACAAAATTTGTACACAAATGTTCATAACAGTATTAGTCATAAACGGCAAAAAGTGGAAAGAACCCAAATATTTATCAATTGATGAACGGATAACAATGTGGTATATCCTTACAATGGAATATAATTTAGCAATTTAAAAAAATGAAGTACTGATACATGTCACAATATATTTGAACCTCAAAGACATTATGCTAAGTGAAAAAGATGCCAATCACAAAAGACCACAAAACGGAATTATAATACCACTTACATGAAATATCCAGAACAGGCAAATCTACAGAGACAGAAAGTAGATTAACGTTTGCCTAGGACTGTGAGTAAGAATCAGGAAAGCTTGGGTATAAATGGGGAGTGACTGCTAACGGGTATGGGATTTCTTTTTGGGGTGATGAAAATGTTCTAAAATTGATTGTGGTGATGGCCGCATTTGCCTAGGACTGTGAGTAAGAATCAGGAAAGCTTGGGTATAAATGGGGAGTGACTGCTAATGGGTATGGGATTTCTTTTTGGGGTGATGAAAATGTTCTAAAATTGATTGTGGTGATGGCCGCACAACAATGTGTATATACTAAAAACCACTGAATTGTATACTTTAAATGGGTGAGTTGTATGCCGTGTGAATTATATCTCAATAACCCTGTTTTTAAAAAAAGAAAGAAAGGAAAAAATGGGACAAATGGCAGATAATTACCTAGAGAGCACAGTAGACCATAAGCCGAACATAACTAGATGGCATGGGGGCTGATTAAACACAATATTGGAATGCTATTGTTATTCCTTATCCACCTCCCAACTAAAAGAAATAAACAAATATAAACAATCTGTGTGGATTTATATATAATCCAATCCTTCCCTTATCTTAAGCACAGATCAGACCTTTATTAGAATGATGTTTAAATCTGAGTTCTAAAATTTAAAGATATGACAATAAAAAAAAGTTTAAGACTGTTTCAAAAGGGGAACTAAGATTTTTTCTTAAATGTAACTGTTTAAGTGCCCACATTTCAAATGGATTATAACTAAAAAAAACCTGGTATATAGCTGTACACCAATTCAAGAGTAAAGAGATCTGAGTTTTAGTAGTTAGAAAATTCACATCCTTCAGTTACAAATGAAGCTAAACTAAGGACTCTGTATGCTCTAACAGTCTTTGACAGAGAACCCAAAGCATCAATTCAGATAACCTATTCATAATTTACAGAGCATTTCTATGCAAACTGAATTCTAATTTCTAAAACCAGGAAGATGCGTTGTTTCTGGGAAACAATGGCAGCCCTTCTATATGTGAGCATGAGCTGAGGAGAGGCTGTTAAGTTATACTTGTGTATTCCAAGAGACCAGTGACTTGCTTATTCTCTGATTATTACTTCATTCTCTACATCTTCATTCTAGCAAAACGAATATTCTATATTAAAAAGCCAGAAAAGACAATATCTAGATTGCTCAAGAGTTTTGAATTGAGACATAAAAAACTGGAAAGGTCCAAGGACCGACCCCTCCTTCCACAACTAGTCACGCTGCCGCTGCCACGGGGCCTGCCTGCGGTCTTGAGGCATGGAGCTGGGGAACCAACCCCTCCTCCCACAACCTGGCAAGGAGCATGCCTAAAACACCAATTTCATCTGGGTGGCCCACCACAGCCACAATAGCCACAGCTGCCGCAAAAGCTAGACACCACAACCACCATGCAGTGTGGATGGCCTGCCAGCCACTCCAGTGCACTGACACAAGGAGAGTCACCAGTGGAGACCAAAGAAAAGAAGATGATGTCTCTCTCCACAAAGCCCATTCCACAGAGATAGAAGCAGCATCTGTTCTACGATAATAGTAGGGGACCTGAACAGATCATCTAGGCAAAAAATCAACAAAGTAACCATTACTCTTTCAGAAGAGAAGAAATTTAGGATTATCAGAGGTGGGAGGGGTAGGGGGATGGGGAGAGACTGGATGAGGGGCATGAAGAATAAGTATGATTATATATGATTATATATAAGTAATAATATATATGATTATATATGATTATATATAAGTAATAATATATATGCTAATAATATTGATTTGATCAACAAACATCAACCCCCCCAAATATGTAAAATCGATTATGATTCAATTTTTTAAAAAACCCAAAAAACACAATGTCTGGCACATAGTGAGTGCTCAATAAATATTTGTTGAGGAATAAAAAAATTTTTTTTAAATCTGGGAAGGTGTTGGTGGTGAAGACAGGACTCCCAGAATGCCCTGTATGCAGTTGTTCAAGGAAGCCACATGAACTCAAAAGAAAATAAATTACAGCTAGTAAATTTACAAAAATTTACCTTTTTTTTCTGTTTTAAAAGAAAATAATGAGTAGTCATTCTCCATATCTGTTGAAGCTATAATGAAAGGAAATGGGTATAAAGATGAAGAATTTAAAATTGGCAAATAGAAAGTTTTCCTAATAGAAACCAATGACAAGCATGGAAATGAGCTGCCAAGTATGGTAGGGAGAATAATGGCCCCCAAATACGTCCATGTTCTATTCCCCAGAATGTGTCAAAGTTACATGGCAGAGGGGAATTAAGGTTGCAGATGGAATTAAGATTGTTCATCAGCTGATCGTAAAATGGGAGAATAGCCTCGATCATCCAGGTGAGCCCAATGTTGTCAAAAGAGTACTTAAAAATGAAAGGAGGAGACAGAAGTCTGTTGGTTAGGGTGATATATGAAGGACAGAGTGTTGTGAAGACTTGTTTGGCCATTGCTCACCTTGAGATGGAGAAAGGAGGCTACGACCCAAAGAATTCAAGTAGCCTCTAGAATATAAAAAGGCAAGGAAATGGATGCTCTCCTAGAGATTCAGAAGGGAACTTGATTTTTTGCACAGAAAGACCCTGTGTCAGACTTATGACTCACAGAACTGCAGCATAATAAATCTGTGTTGTTTTAACCTGCCAAGTTTTTCGTAATTTACTCCAGCAATAGGAAAATAATATGCCAAGACAGACATTCCATTTTCTGAAAGCCTTTTAAAGCAGGATGTTCATCTTTCTGAGATACTTTACAAATGATATCATTCAAGGTTCTTTCCATCCTTATATGTTAATTGGAAGGTCTGTATATTAACATTAGAAACAAAGAATTTCTATAAAGTCAGAGACAGAATATTAAACACAGTGGACAATACCAAAGTGGAACATCTAGATCAGATGCTCAAACTTTAATATGTATATGAATCTCCTTATAATGCAGATTCCGATTCTGTAGGTTTGGGATGGGGACAGATTCTGCATTTCTAATAAGTACCCAAGTGGTGATGATGATGCCAGTCCTTAGTCCACACTTGAATTAGCAGGGGGATAGACTGATCTTAGCCTCACTGGTTGAAGTCTCTGAGACTGTTTAATCCCACTCTGAATATACCATCCGAGAGTATACACAAACCTTTCTTGAACCTGCTTCTGTTTCACTCAGTCAGCTATTGCATGGAGCAATAATATTCTCTAAGATAGCTATCTACTACAAAAAGAAATGTTTTCTCCATGTAATTCTAAAAGACCTCCAAGAACCATAATTTCAAAGGTTGGTAAAAACTGATTAGCTCTATCCATATCCTTACACATTTTAATTATTTTGGCCTTTGATCAAATGTCATCAAACATTTTTTCTATTCAGAGGGAAACAATGTGATCGTGGAAATAGACTTTAGAGTCACAAAGTCAAACTTTGCCTTGCTAATAAATGCTATGAAAATTTGGGCAAGCTGCACAGTATCTCTGAACCTCTTTCATCCTAAGTAAAATATGAAAATAATGCCTATCTTGGTATTGTAGTTTAAGTGAGGGCATATATTAATGTCATAATGTCCACTACGTAATAGATGCCAAATAAGTTTCCTTCCTCTAGCCTCTTCATATATTTGTCACTTTTTGGGTTCATCTCAGCTAATTTTCCTTTCATTCTCTTTATCACTGCTGTGGATTGAATTGTATCTCCCAAAGTCTGTGTATTAGAAACTTAACCCCCACTGTGACAGTGTTAAGAGGGTGGGAAATCCTATTATGGTAATTGAAAGGTGGGGCCTTAAAGAGAGATAAGATTGTGAGGAACATGCCCTAGTAAATGGATTAATCCATTGATGGTTCAATGATGGTCATGGGTATGGTTGTGAGGGTTTTAAAAAAAGAGCCAGTGTGTAGTTAGCTTTCTGCTCCACCATTCTGCCATGTGAGATCCCTGCATCACTGTCACCACCACCACCAAGGCCTTCACCAGATGTGTTCCCTGGACTTTGGACTTACCAGCCTCTGAAACTGTAAGCAATAAATTTCGTTTTCTTATAAATTATCCAGGTTCCGTTATTTCTGTTAGAAGCAATAGAAATGGACTAAAACAATCATTTTAGCTGCCCTCCTCCATTCTGTTGTAAGGAGAATCAATAGAAACATGAGAGTATTCTGAATATTGATTTGTCATGAACTTGTACAAAGTAGAGTATTTTTCCTCTATTCTTCTGTAAAGGATCAACGTGTTTCAAGCTTCTTATCAGCATTCCCAAATCCTGAGTGGTCCATGCTGCACTATCCTATGTACTTATATCACTTCCCTAACAGCCTCCAGTTCCTGACTTCAAGACTCCTTCCATCTATGTTCTAACTCAGCATTTGTTCAATATAACTTCCTCTGATGATGAAAATGTTCCATTGTGAGCTGTCCAAAACAGTAGCCACTAGTCACATGGGTCTACTGAGCATTAAAATGCAGCTAGTATGACTAACAAACCGAATTTTTAATTTTATTTAACTTTTACTAACCTGAATAGCTACATGTGCTAGTAGCTATACATTGGAAAAGCACAGGTGTAACTTGTGTTCACCAGTTCAAGCTAAGATCAAAATGCGAACTGGAAATTCTCTCAATTCACCCTTATCTAATTTCCATTCCTTTATTAGAATGGTTGCCCCACATCAAGAACATACATCGGGGAAAGGACAGCCTCTTCAATAAATGGTGCTGGGAAAACTGGATATCCATGTGTAGAAAAATGAAAGTAGACCCTTACCTCTCACCATATGCCAAAATCAACTCAAAATGGATTAAACACTTAAATATAAGACCTGAAGCTATAAAACTCCTATAAGAAAACACAGGGGAAACATTTCAGGAAGTAGGACTGGGCAAAGACTTTATGAATAAGACCTCAAAAGCACAAGCAACAAAAGAAAAAAATAAGCAGATGGGATTAAATCAAATTAAAAAGCTTCTGCAGAGCAAAGGAAACAAAGTGAAAAGAAAACCTACAGAATGGGAGAAAATATTTGCAATCTATGCATCTAACAAGGGGTTAATATCCAGAATATACAAGGAACTCAAACGGCCGTAAAAATAATAATAATCTGATTAAAAAATGGGCAAAGTCACTGCATAGACATTTCTCAAAGACATACAAATGATGAACAGACACATGAAAAAATGCTCAACATCACTAAGCATCAGAGAAATGCAAATCAAAACCACACTGAGATATCACCTTACCAATTAGACTGGCTATTATCAAAAAGACAGAATAACAAATGCTGGTGAGGAAGCAAGGAAAGGGGAACCCTTCAACACTGTTGGGACTGTAAATTAGTGCAGGCATTATGGAAAACAATATGGAGATTTCTCAAACAACTACAGACAGAACTGCCATACGATTCAGCAATCCCACTACTGGGTATACACCCAAAGGAATGGAAATCATGCCAAAGGGATACTTGTACTCCCATGTTTATCAATGCTCTACTCACAATAGCCAACATATGTAGCCAACCTAAATGTCCATCGTTGGAAAACTGGATAAGGAAAATATTGTGTACATACACAGATGGAATACTACTCAGCCATAAAAAAGAATGGAATTCTGCCATTCGCAGCAACATAGATGAGCTGAGAGAAAATTGTGTAAAGTGAAATAAACCAAGCACAGAAAAAGAAATATCACATGTCCTCACTCATTAGTGGGAATTTAAAAAAAAGCAAGCAAGAAACAACAATCACAATAATACATTGAACTTTCAAGAGGACAGAAGAGAACTGTGGTAACTAGAGGTGGGAAAAGCAGAGGGGGAATTGTGAGAAACTGGTCAAGGGTCACAAAGAATGATCATGTTTTGTAATGATGAATATACTAATTATTCTGATTTGATCATTGCAAATTGTACACAGGTACTGATATTCAACTCTGTACCCCACAAATATGGATAATCAATTGTTTCAAAAAAGAAAAAAAGACATTTTGAAATATTCACAGGATTGCACTAATCACTGTGAGTGCAGCAGTTACATATCCAGAGAAGTGCTGTAAAGGATTCTTGACTCCAATACCATGATCATCAGTGAGGTGATGTAACTGAATAACTTTGGGAAATTCCAAACGAAATAAAAATACTATCTTCAATCTTTTACCAGAAAGAAAATAAAAATAAAAATAGTTGCCCAAACATTCTAAGCAACCTCGATACATACTCTCTCTGATCTACTATCCTGGGTCTTGTTTAGATGGAGAAGCATTTACTAGCAATCATAATTAAACATGTTAATAATACTACAACAGCTAATTCTTATTGAGGTGCCAAGCTCTGTGCATACTACTTTGCCTAATATGTGATATTAAACATTTTCACCAGCTAGGTCAACCACTTAATCCTCAGAAAACTTCTGGTGGCCAACTATGAGGTTTCACACTGACATTTAATGGCTGTACCTTAGAAGTCTGAGCAAGAGTGTGTGTGTTGTTTTTTATAGGGGCTAGAGGAGGTAGGTTGGAAAGAGATAAGGAGGCACTGGAAACATCGAGTGTGACTACTACGTTTAAATCATATAATCACATATGTCTGTCAGGACTACGTGGTTAAAACCATTGCAAATTTGGCTTCTGTAAATACTTTAAAACATTTTTCCAATGTTTCGTCAGACTAACTAAGCAGGCTTTGAGTGGGGTGCCATTCAACTCATAACAAGGTACTTTACAAATAACTATTAGCATTTATTATCTACACGTGGAAACTATAGCAAAGGTCAATCAAGAGTTGTGCCCAAGGTCATCAGTAAAGTGAAAATAATACTGAAAATTTCTTAGATGAAGTGAAAACCAGGGTTTCGGCCAACTGTGAGGTGGTGAGGAAAACATTTATCCAAAGCTCCTCCAAGGAAACCTCAGAAGAGAGAAAAATGTCACAGCCCCAAGGGTGGTCACATTTATGTTTCTCACCGTCAGCGAAAAGACGACCAACCCTAAACATATATCTGGCAAATCATACGCAAAATCCCTTAAGCCACAACCTTCCTTTCCTCTTCATACCTGTGGACGGACAGAGGCCTTATCTCCCATTTCTGGGCAACCAAACACCCCAAATGACTTGTCTAGCAACCAGATCCCACAAGCATTTCGTCTCCTCTTGAAAGCCCATCGCTCCCTTTACTCAAAGAACATAGTAATCAGGGGCCTAATGAAGCAGCCCCCCAAGGCAGCAGCCACCACCAACCTGCCGAGGAGAACTGAGGCAGAGCCACTTTCCACGCCAGGAGGACCCCGCGCCGCACTATGGGGGCCGCCATCTTGGAACGTACCAAAAGGAAAGCCGGCCCGGAGGTTGCGGACAGAGGAAGGGGCGGGATCACAGCCCGTCGCGCCGACAATTGGACGAATCCTGTTGGGCGCTCTCAGTCCAGGGCCGACGCTCCGCCTCGCCTCCCGGCCCCCGCAGTTGGTACAGCCCGGAACACTATGGCTGCAGCCTTTCGGTCCTCGAAACGAAGTCTGCCGCAGGTGCTCCGGAAATCGGTGTATCCCGGGGTGGGAGGCTCCGGCTCCACTTGCTGCCGCTGTCCTCTCGGAGGTATCTGCGACCTCAAGCCGGAAGGAAGGGAGGGATGGGAGAGAAGGGAGGGTCAGACCCCAGCGGGCATCTCTTTGGAGGTAACAGCTCCTCAGTCACTCACTGGCCTGCAGCGCACCCTCGCCCTCTAGTTGTGTGTGGGTGCAGCCGCGTCCCCTGGGGGTCGCAGAAGCCCCCGGTAGCCGAAGGACAGCTGGGATTTTGGCCTTGGGGCTGTAGTGTTACGTTGCTTTCCAGAAACACCCCTTGGGTGTACTTTTCCGCAGGGTTTGAGAGAGGAGGTCGTAGACGTCCGGATTTTGGAGTCCCAGCTCTGCTGCTAACAAACTAAAAGACCTTGAGCAGGTGTCCTACTTTTCAAAATTATCCCTTAACATCTTTATGAGAAGGACTAAATTTGAAAATCCTAGTGAGTGACAAAAATACTTAACGTTCTGTGTCAGACATTATCCTAATGCATTTTACATACATTAATTCCTTTCCTCCAGACAACGTCCAGTGAGAGAGGTACCGTTCTTTTCTCCATTTACAAGTAATTTGCTCAAGGTCAGAGGGAACTGGTAGAAGGGGGTTTTGAACAGGGCCAACAGTGGAGACAAGCTCGTAAATACTTCACTGGACTGCCTTTCCATAACTAAATAGCAGTTTTTATTGTTACCTTGTTACTGCAGCACGGAGAACTCTCTTAGCGGGTAATGCTTTGGCCAAGCTTCATTCATTTTACCTCATGTACAGCCGAGGATCCTAAAGAAAGGATGGTGTTTTGCAAACCTACTAAGCTGTGATCCAGTGATTTCTGATGTATCTTGAAGATACCTAGAGTGCACATCTGAGAGGCCATAACCTCCTCATTTCACAAGTGACAAAACTGGGAGTTCAGTGGTCACATTGTAGGTTTTCCCGCTATACTACATGTGTATGCATCTCCTCAGATAAACCAAAACTGGATATGCCTGTTTTGCATTTAACTGGTAGCTGTCAGTTGAAGGTTTTTTTTTTTTTTTTTTTTTTTTTTTTTTTTAATGTCGTTGTTACCCCTTAACCAGATGGCTAATACCTGTTTGCCCTTAAAATCCCAGTTTCTTGTCAACCACTCTCCATACGTAATTAATCACTAGCTCCTTTGACACATGCAAACACAACTCTTGCTGAGATTTTCATTCTCTGGTAGTTTGGAGATGTTTTTTCCCGCCAGGGTTACTGTCATACTTGTACCTTTCTAGATGGCTAATTTATAATTGATGAAAATAAGATCAGTTAATTAGAGGCAATAAAATGCTACTCATGTTATTGCTAACTACAAAACAGATAAAGTGATTTTACTTTTTTCTTTCTCTAATTTTTAGCTAAAAGATATCTACTTTCAGATAATATTGTGAAATTAAAAGAATTTCAGCATAATAAGGTGGCTGTTGCATATCATATTCCTGGCACCAAAGGTAATGGAATCTATTTTGTTAATTCTTTCATCAGTCTGTCGTTTGAGCTTCCTGTCTTTATCTCTGTTCAATCTCTCCTTCAATGACCTTATGTCTCATAGAAAAAAATGGAGACCATTTATTCTTAGTTTCATAGTCTACCCTTCCTTTTCATCTCACACTCTACTACTACAAAACCTACAGGTCTCCTCTTACTTCTTCTCCCAGGAGTGCTGCGACCAGTCCTCTCTAGATCCGTGCCACTCAAAGTATGGTTCTAGGACCAGCAGCATCAGCATTAATTGAAGTTGATGGAAGGTGCAGATTGAAAGGCCTCTGATGATTCATATGCACAATAAAGTTTAAGAACTCCAGACGACTGGCTTTCAAACTTTTTGATGTAACCCTCAGTAAAAAATACATTTTATGTTGCCTTTCTACGTATCTCTACATAAATGTCTTTATATAAATGAAATCAAGTGAAACAAAACAGTGCTATGTGTGATGATGCCTTTTAATAGTTTTTACTTTGTGCTGGAAAAGTCAACGAAATCAAAGATTTCTTAAAAAACAGGAGGCTCTGAGATTTGCTTTGAAAATATGAAATTTTTCATATTTTCTGAGTGTATGAAATCTGAAATTTGCTTTGAAAATATCCAGTGTGTTTGGGGAGTGTAGAAGAAACAAAATTAGCAAAATATTGATCATTGTTGAGGCTGGGTGATGGGCACTTGGGGGGCATTATACTGTTTTTTGTACTTTCGGGTATGTTCAAAAATTTTTACTGTAAAAAGCTAAAAACAAAAACACTACCACCCGAGTTCCATTCCCTTTCAGATTCTGAGAAATCTTGTTGCATTTATTCCTTCCCTCTTGCACATAAAGTTCTTCCCCGTACTTCAAACTCCTTTATTAATATATCCAAGACTTTCCTCCCTTTTAATAACTCTTGTTTTGTCCCTATGGGCTTTTCCGGCTGTAGGCCCAGCCTTCCTTCCTCTCCCTGCCAAATGTTTGTGAGCACCTGATTAACACTTCCCACCTCCAATCCCTCCTAGTTCAGTCCTCCAGAAATCAGTCTTCCCTCGCCATACCGTTATACATTACCACCTACGGGACAAGAAGATAAGCCTTAGGAGTCGGGGAAAATATATTTATTTCTGGTTTAGTAAGGAGACTTAATCTAGATTTCACCTCAGTCTTTTTACCCTAGGAATCTTGGAGCTACGTTGGGTTTGCAGTTAGGGCTCCATGTCATTGTCTAGTTGTTATTTCCAATTCTCACGGTCTTCATAAGGCTGTGAAAGTTATGCACATGTTCTGAAACGCAATTAATATAATCATTGCCAATCTACTCCACTGTCAGACTGCAATTTATAAAGTCCTCTCAACATTTAGCCATTTTAAGAACCCACAGTGGTACTCTGTTGTGTACCACATCATGTACATGCTCACCCTCCTGGCTTCCTAGCTCTTCCATAATGGACCCTACCCTCTATGGAGTCCAGTGTAGTTTCTTATTAGTCTAGGGATGGCTTGTCACTACACCTTTCACCCCCAGTTCTATTATGTTACTCATACTGATTCCCATACCTAGAATTCCCCCCCTCCATTTCTCCAATCCTGTTTAGCCCCTTCCTTTCTCACTGATACCCCTCAGCTTCCATCAAACCTGAGTCAAAACAGGTGTCATAATAGGACTCTTCTGTCCTGCCGTGTTTATGGTCATTCACATGTCACCTCCTTTGTCATTGTTTTTAGATATCTTTGCATGAATACATCTTGTCTTCCCAAATAGACTTTGAGTTCTTTGAGGGCAGGAAACCATATCTTACTTTTCTTGGTGTGTCTCATACCAAGAAGGATCCCTCTAAGTATGAATATAGGATAAGCACTTAAATGTTGATTGATTTGTTTTAAAACACGTTATATCTGTTGAAAAATTTGGATTCTTAATGTTTATTAAGAAGCATTAAGAGGTACAAGATGTGAAGTCATCCCTCTGAGATCTTTTAGATTGGAAATTGTTTAGAAATATTTAATAACCTAAAGCTTATTAGATGTAACAAGTGATGGAATAAAAATGAGAACAATAATGTCTCTATTTATTGGTGGATACTATATGGTAAGCCTGTGCTAAATGCTGCAATACATTGTCTCAGGTAACCCCACGAAGTTAGGTATCTCATTCCTCAGTTTACATGTGAGAAATCAAGTCTCGTGGAGAAGGGTTTCCCCCATAGCATGCAAGTAGCAGAGCCTAGATTTTAGCCCAGGTCATTCCATTTCTAAAACCTTTAACCATTATGTGGTTCTGCACATAAAGACTGGAAGATCGACTGCATTATCTCAAACACAGTGGGTCTTCTTTTCTTGCAAATCGAGAGCCTCAGCTTCTAGTTCTTGTGCTGTTAATGTATATTGTGCCACTCTTTTTAGCAGCATCCTTTAAAGCTCTGGGCCTTGGAACAAATCCCATAGGTATTTCTTGGCAGCTTCTGACACTGAGAACAGTCCTGCCTTCTGGAAAGCAGATGCTTGGTACCTGCCTTGCATCTCACCCTGCGTTTTGGTGAGAATGCAGTCCCTTCCTATTGCTAAGAAGCAGTGTTTCCTTTTGGTATTTGTCCCCAGAGATGATTAGATACAAAGACAAGGCAGATGCTTGGTACCTGCCTTGCATCTCACCCTGCGTTTTGGTGAGAATGCAGTCCCTTCCTAGTGCTAAGAAGCAGTGTTTCCTTTTGGTATTTGTCCCCAGAGATGATTAGATACAAAGACAAGGGATAAAGATAGACTGTGATAACCTTGAAATGATTCTACCACTCAAAGAGGGTTTGCTGCTGTTTAGAGGACTGTTTTTTATCCTGCATTACATAGGCATGTTACCAACAACTGAGTAGAGAAAGACCAGGATGAATGAAAGAGAAGTGAAGTTGAATCAAATGAAAGAAACAAGTATTCCTGAGTTATGTGAGTCAACCATTGTGGATAAACCTAAGTCACATTTTCCTTTCAGTTTTCCTGCTTGCTGCCTTACCAATTGATGGTTAAGATATTCGGTTACTTTTCTTTCTTTTTCTCATGAGTCACCTATAGAATTAATTATTTGGGCTAAGCCTCAGTGACAATAGTCTTCAAACTTCAGTATACCTGAGGATCACCAAAAGAGTCAAAAATGCCTATTCTTGTGCTCCTACTCCAGAGATTCTGTTTTAGAAAGTCTTGAGTAGGACCTGTGCCTGTGCCTTGGCCCCTGTGACACAGATGCTTTGCTTCATGGACTGTCTTGTGACACTTGCTGCCCTAGAGGAGATCAGCCAGTGATGGGACCTGTGTGTCCTTGAGACCCTCTTAGTGCCCCTCCAGTGAGCCAGGTTCAAGCTTCCCCTTCTTCCTGAGGTCAGACCCTTTACAATCCCAGTCAGCCTGAGTGATGGCTGCCATACTGTGCTTTCTTCCAGAAACCTATTTTAGAAACTTGGAAGAGAAGTTGACCCAGAACAAGCTTATCCTGAAGGAAGAATTAAGAATCTTGCTTCATTTGTGTGAGTCCCGGGACGATGTGGAGCTGGCTAAAAAGGTCATTTCCAGGTGAGGCATTTCCTTAGAATTCTGCCAGCCTACATCTCTTCTCACTCTGTGACTTTCCCTGAGCAATCTTAGTCACTTCTGAGGTTTTAGCTATAACCTCCACGCTGATGACTTCAGACATTTGTATTTATTCATTGAACAAACACTGGGTTTCTGCTACGTGCCAGGGGCTATGGATAGAAAAACAGATAATTTATGTCCAAAGAATTCCCCAACCAATTCACTAACTCCACTTACATATCCACTAGGTCTTCAAATTCAACATACACAAATTTATTCCTCTTCCTGTGTTGTTTATCTCACTGACTGGTCACCTAGGATGTATTTTGGAGCCTCTTTCCCCTAATCTCTTTTGCCTTTCTTCCCAAATGGGATAAGAAATCCTACTGCTTCCACTTCCTTGGTATCTCTCATCTCTAGCCTTCCTCTCTCAGTCCCCAGTATCTTAGTTCAGGCTTCAGTGTCTCTCTTGGAGATCATTTCAGTCGACTATTCTCCCTCTTCTGGCCTGTTGTACTTTTCTGATCCATAATTAGAGTTTCCCATATCAGAGAGAACTTGCATGTAATGATAGCCTGCTGTTGGGAAGCCCAGCAAAAGTTTTGCTTACCAGGGAGCAGTATGACACCCAGCAGGCTTCATTTCTGAAATTAAGTTTATTGCTTCTCTTTGCCATTCTTGAAAGATGTATTTCTATACATGGACCACATTTATATTGTCCAATTATAGAAAGAAATGCAAGATATTCATATATAGAATACTAGAAGATTATATACTAAATTTAACTGTGGATCTTTGGGAATTATAGGTTATATATTTTTTTGTTTGTCTAAGTGTGTATTTCTGATTTCTCAAACTTGCCTACAGTGGACATTAATTTTATAATATGAAAACAATTAATGTTATTTTTTAAAGTAAAAGATAAAATTACACAAAATTTATTTAAAATTTGAAAAACACCAAAAAAGTAGAAGAAATGTACCACAAATCAAGTTGTTTGTCACTGTTTATCAAACCACGCCAGAACTTAATGGCTTAACACAGTGACTATTTATTATTTCTCACAATTCCAAGGGCCAGTAATCGAGGCCCATTTCTGCTGGGCTTTCTTTACTGGTGTCTGGTGAACTCACTCCCTTGTCTACAGTCATCTGGTAGCTGGGCTGTACTGAAAGGTCTAAGAAGGCTTCAGTGGCATTTCTGATGCCTGCGTGCTCCTTCATGTGTCCTCTCCCTGTAATGCCTCACTATTCCAGCCTAGCCTGAGATGCACTGGCTCATAGCACAGGTGGGAGCTGCCAGGCCTTGCACAGCCGCTCAAAATTGGTCAAGGCAAGTTACCTGGCCAGGCCAAGGTCAAGGGGAGGGGAAATAGATTCCACCTCTGGGTGGAGGGAGTAGCATGCACATATAGGGAGGGAAGGAATCGATGGCACGTCTGTGGGGCCTATCCATTACTTCTAAGAAACTACTGTTAATATTTTTATTTTTTTGTTTCACAGATTTTTTTTTCCATGCAAAGGTTTTGTGGTTTGGGTGGGTTTTATATTACATAGTTGTAATTATTACTGTATATGGAATGACATTTCCTTGTTTTCTAAATTAGTATTATAGCATAAATGTTTTTTCTTGTTAATTATATACTTAAAAATCATATTTTAATAGGAATACAATATTCATTGTATGTTAGGTATTTTAACTAACTGTGCCCCTGTTGTTGGACATCTAAATTATTTCTAGTTTTCCACCAGTACAAATGATGCCATGATGAGCAACTCTGCATAAAACTTATTCTTTGTTTCCTTTTTGGGAACAGAGGGTATGAACTTTTTAAAGCTTGTTAATATAAACTGTCAGATTATTTTCCAAAAGGTTATGCTAATTTATAGTCACATGGTATCAGCAAACTTAATTCTATATTTCAATTTCAAAAAGTTAAGTTGTTTGAGACCCTCCGGTCTGTTTTCTTCTCACTCTTCTTTTTGCTACCCAAAGCTATCAGATGTTTATAAGGGTAGCAAAACAGAATAAAAATTCTGAACACTTTCTATTCTTATTTTTAAAATAAACATTCAGAGTGACTCATAATTCCTTTATTGATGCTAATTACTCTCCACCCAGTTGCTGTCTTTTCCCTCTGCTTGTGGACAGCTGGACAAGTGGGAAGATGGGTGGATCCATGCGTGGCCTAACCAACCTATTCTCTGTCTTCCTGAGACAGGCAGCCCATGGGTGGGAAAGGCGAGTCATGAGCTGAAACATAAGCTGTTTATTGAGCCAAAAATGGGGAGAAACTTAATCTTATTCTTGACCAAATCTATTGTTTGGTTTGTAGGGGGGGTTTAGGTCATTTTTGAACATTTCTCGTCAAGAAGGCAATTCATTATCTCATTGCCTTTCTAGCACTTTTGTTAGTGTGAAAGTCATTTTGAAGGTGAATGTCAAACCTGGAACACATTTGTTTTTAATCTGGCACAAGTTTCTCATGAGACTATTTACTGAAAAAAATGTTGATTTTGAAGATATTTTCCTCAGCATGCCTTAGATTTTATAAAAGCTAGCATATCTTGAAGACTTGCTGTGTACCCAGCATGTTATTTCATTTAATCCTCACAAAAACTCTTTGAGTTGGGTTCTCTTCTTCTCTCCAGTTTACAGATGAGAAAACAGGCATAGAATGGTTAATTAATTTGCTCGTGTTTACACAGTTTGTAAGTAGAAAAGCTGAGATTTAAACCATTATTTTGGATTCAGGGGCCAAAAACTCTTAATCACTATACTGTGTTGCCTTTTAATAATTTAATTCATAAGTGTTCAAGCAATGAATATTATTTGTATCTTCTATAATTGGATTATGAAATGTATCTTTAGAAGTATACGTCGTTCTATTTGGTAATATATATGTTTAGAATAGACTAGCCAAAATGCTATTTCAACTTTCCTCAGTGATTTCAACAGAAAGTAAAAAGTATTCTGTTTTGTAAAGTCAAAGCTTTTCCCCATAGTATTTTAGATTTCATTCACATAATAAATGAATCTTCCTAAAATCTTATTTACATGTAATATGAGGTGCTTCTTTTGTCACCAGATTGTCCTCTTGGTGTCTAAAGCAGAAGGAATTGGTTTTTGAAAGTAAATTTATGCTAGTGATTTACAGTTCTGCAGGTCTAACTGACAGACTGGCTGCCCATAAAAATCTCAAGCCACATATAACGTGCCACTGTCCTTGAAATTACACTTTTCCTAAAACTTAAAGTTTCAAAACAGCATTTAATTTGTTTAGTTAGGTGATCATAGCTCACATCTGACTTTACCAGACCTTAGAAAAGCAGAGTTTGCCATAAATTATAAGGCATGTCTGTTGGTTGTCTGCTGTCCTATATGGGGATGAAGCCAGCCTTGAGCACAGAGCATCGCTGCACTCTTCTCTCCTGTTCTCCTTTGGACGGGGCTCCTTCTGATGCACTTATAAATGTGAGATCCCTGCTGTTCCCTAACATATGCTCATACTCAGTTCCAGTGGGTAGTTGCTAAATTTAGAGAATGGTTGCAAAGTACATCTTTCCTCTCTTTCTTGTATTTCACAGGCCATGTGGGCCTCTAACAAACCCTGTTTGTTTGTTTATTTGTTTGTTTGTTTAAATGCCAGGCATACTTCTGCACTCCAGGATTCCTCTTATTGTCTTCAAATCTCCACTTTTTCCCCTCCAGACTGTGAGAGTACCTCATTCTTAATTGTGCCCCCAGTGCCTAGCAGAGTGCCTGTCAGGTCTATGTCTGTTCTTTTTCCTGCATCTCACTGAATCATTTTCTCATTTTCTTTACCAGGTACCACACAGAGAACAGAAATGTCACTTTGGAGGAATATAAGTTTGGACCACTTTTCATGAGACTGTGTTACGAGTTGGATCTTGAGGAATCTGCAGTGGAGCTCATCAAAGACCAGGTTATTGTTTCCCGATTGCTTTCCCTGCTAACATGGTTTCTTTATGTCAAGGATATGGTGTTTTTGGTGATGTTAGGAAAAGCATCTCTTCCATGTACATTATTCCTGGGTTAGATTCAGAGAAAGGCCACTGGGCTGAATGAATGAGCTCTTCCTTGCATTTTTAAAGTTTCCTTGGAGTCAGCCCACATAAAGAGGAGTAGGTCTCTACAGAGAGGTGTAGAAGAGGTGTAGGTGCAAGAAGCCTACCTGTTTTGGATGTGTCGACCTGGGATGTACATTCTCTCGGGCACTTTCAATAGAGAAGCATTTTTGACAGGCTTTGAAGACTGCCATTCCTGTTCTTCATCTGAGCTCACTGTCATTTTTGTATTGTTACTTCTGGTTGAAGACTACATTTGTAAAGTGCTTTTCCATTTTCAAAATGCTTACATATATTATGATTTCCTTTTCCTAAAATCAAAAATAAAATAATTATTTTTACAGTTGTTTAATGAATGTTTACTGTGTCCTCAGCATTATGCTTATGCACATTACGTGTTTCATTTCATTTGTTTCCCACAATAGTCCTGATGAGGTAGATACTATTATCATTTCTAATGAGGAAGCTGGGACCTAGAGACATAAATGCATCCATGGTCAGAAACACTTATTAAATTTTGGGCCTGGGGCTGGCCATAAGGTACATCTTAGCATTTAGGAACTTCCTTAACAAACTAAATTGTTCTTCTGCCTCTTACTCTTTTGCATATAAAGTATTCTGTATGTGGTTTAGGCTTGCCCGTCTTCAAGGACACCCATGTATTAGAAAAATGACCATAATATATTAGTAAGCAGAGAAAAGTAGTTTTAGAATGGTATAGTATGATCCTATTGTTTTTCTAAAAAAAAAATACATATTTACATTTTAGTATATATGTATTAGAAATCTGGAAATATACACATTAAACTACTGCTTATCTTCGGGGGTAGAATTATAAAAATTCTCAATTTTTGCCTTATATATTTTTGCACTGTTTGACTTTTTCTAATAAACATGTGTAATGTTATAATTGAAAGAAAACCCAAATTTCACTGTAATAAATCACAGCCATAAATGTGGTGATAAAAACAGACAAAAAGAAAAAAAAAATGGAAGTAAAATTTTTTTCTTAACCTACTGTGTTTGAAAAACTCATGTATAAGGAAGTTTTCTGGAGCAGTAGAATGAACTGAATTAGAGTGACATAAGTCCTAATCCTGCTTCTACCCTAACTTGTTATGTTCCATACTCAAAACTATGTAGTGCGGCCGGTTTGGTAGCCACTGGCCACACTTATCAATTGAGCCCTTGGCCTGTGGCTAGACCAAATTTACATGAGCCATAAGTGTAAAATATATGATGGGTTTCACATACTTGCCTGTGGCTAGACCAAATTTACATGTGCCATAAGTGTAAAATATATGATGGGTTTCACATACTTGCTATGAAAAAGAGAATGCAAAGTATCATAATAATTTTTTATATTGATTATATATTGAAATTATATTTTGGATGTAGTGAGTTAAATAACATTATTGAATCTGTTTTTACATTTTTTAATGAGGCTACTAGAAAATTTAGAATCACATTTCATAGCTCACACTCGTGGCTCAAGATACCTTTCCACCAGTCAGGGCTGCTCTGGTGGCTTTCCATCACACTTAGAAGAAAATTCAGACTGCTGACCATGACCTAGAGGACCCCTTTTTGGTATCTCCTTTCCTACCACTCACCACCTTCCTTGCTCCCTTTTCTCTGGACCTGTTTGTTCTCTCTCAGACATGTAAGCTTCGTGCCTCTAAGAAGAGTGCTCTCCACCATCATCACAGAGGCTTTCTCCCTCAGTTCTTTGAGGTCTCCTAGAGGGCCTTCCCGGACCACCTCCCATTCATCCTCTCTGTCTCTCTGTCCTGCTTCATTGTTCTTTGTAGCCCTTATTGATACCTGAAATTATATGTATTTTTTCACTTTTTTAATTCAGTTATTCATTGTCTCCCCATCAGAATTTAAGCTCCACTATATTATAAACCCCACCAGAGTTTAGGGCAGCATGTATGTCTTGTTTATATTATTTCTTTATTCTCAGCACCTAGAACAGGGTCTGTGTGGTAGGCGTGCCTCTAAGAAGAGTGCTCTCCACCATCATCACAGAGGCTTTCTCCCTCAGTTCTTTGAGGTCTCCTAGAGAGCCTTCCCGGACCACCTCCCATTCATCCTCTCTGTCTCTCTGTCCTGCTTCATTGTTCTTTGTAGCCCTTATTGATACCTGAAATTATATATATTTTTTCACTTTTTTAATTCAGTTATTCATTGTCTCCCCATCAGAATTTAAGCTCCACTATATTATAAACCCCACCAGAGTTTAGGGCAGCGTGTATGTCTTGTTTATATTATTTCTTTATTCTCAGCACCTAGAACAGGGTCTGTGTGGTAGGCTCTCAAAAAAGAACAAACTTGAGCAAGGTATTTAGTGGCATATTTGAATATGATGTGTCACATTACCATGGAATTAAAAACGTAGAGAAGGGCCAGCCCGGTGGTGCACTCGGTAGAGTGTGGCGCTTGGGAGCGTGGTGGCGCTCCCGCTGAGGCTTCGGATCCCATACAGAGACCAGTCCGCTCACTGGTTGAGCGCGGTGCGGGCGCGACACCGAGGGTTGCGATCCCGTTGCCAGTCGCAGTACGGACGCAACACCGAGGGTTGTGATCCTGTTACCGGTCACGAAAAAAGACAAAAAGGGAAAAAAAAAAAACATAGAGAAGACTTTGGGGAGATGTTGGTCAAAGGGTACAAAAGTTCAGTTAGATAGAAGGAATAACTTTAAGAGATCTGTTATAAGACATGTTGAGTATAGTTAATAACAATGTATTCTTCAAAATTGCTAAGTTTTAAGTGTTCTCACTGCAAAAATGATAAGTATGTAAAGTAATGCATATGTTAATTAGCTCAACTTAGCCATTCCACAATATATACATATTTCAAAACAACATGTACACGATAAATATATGTACTTTTTATTTGTCAATTAAGATAAGTAAATACACATTGAAAAAAGTGTTGAGAACCACTGTTTTATTGAATTATTTCAAAAAGTGAGTAATCAGTGCAATATTATCTGTTTGCCCAAAGAGGACCATAGTTGTGTGAGATCCTCCTGCCTTAGTCCTCAAGTATATTTATAGCTGCCATTTCATGTTAACAGCTCACACCCAGGTTTCAGGACCACCCTGCCAAGGTTAATTGACTTGCTTCTTTTCTCTGAAGCCTGGCAGAGCGACATTTCATAAAGGCATTCTTCACTATGTTTGTGAAACAAAGAGATCTCTTGTAGTACCTCTTGCTCTCATTCATTGTGTCCATTCCCAAAGGCATGACAGCCAAGAGAGTGGGCAGCATTTTAACTTTTTTCAAAAAGAAGCCCTTGGCATACAGAGATTTATTAGAGAAGGCAGGAGGCCAAATGAATAACGTATGCAGAAAACTAAGTCTTGGATAGATAAGATATAGTATAAGTAACTCCTTAACGGTTTTAACTTTTAACCAAATGTATTGTTTTTCTTCATTAGCATTTACGAGGTTTCTTCTCAGACTGCACGTCATTCAATATTTTGATGGATATGTTATTTATCAAAGGCAAATATAAAAGTAAGTACTACAATTCATGTTTGCTGAAAAATTTTGCTGTCTTTGCTGATATAGCAATTGGAAAAAAAAAATGGACCATACAAAAATGATTCTTGTATTCCTGATGAGTGGCCGAATTATCGAAACCTTATTCTTTATGTTTGAAAACACTATTACATTGCACATTGTACCTTAAACTAAACATCCCAGATTTTACATATGCTAAAATTGTAGCATGTGTTAAAATATTAGTTCCTTCTGTCTGACCTGATAATTTATTTTAACATTTAGTTAATAGTTACATAACTTTGAGAAATAGCCTTGATTATACTGAAATATGCTTTTTAGTAGATGGTGCTGAACAGATTAGAGCTTTGGGGATCAACAATAGGGGAACTCTGACCTTGCTATAGTGTATTTAACACTGCTGGCCCACTCCTCACTTTTGGCAGGTGCATTGGAAGTATTGATAGAAATGAAAAACCAAGATGTGAAGTTCAGCAAAGATACCTATGTCCTTGCTTTTGCAATTTGCTACAAACTGGTAAGACTATTTCCCCTTAACTTTCAGAGCATTGTGGGTAGTGTTTGAGAGAGGATTTTTTTTTTTTTCTCTGCAAATAAAATTCAGTTCCTCTGAAGGCTGTTTTCCATCTGGTGCAAATATTTCAATTTTAAATGTATTTGTTTTTAGAAAACTCAAGTTAGCCACATCAGACCGTTTTATCATAGGAAAAGCAATTTTATCTTACCATCTTTCACCCTTGGCTGGTGATTGTGTAGACAGTGAGAACAAGAGGTAGCATGTGGGGTTCAAACTCTGCCTCAGAGTCATCTTGCATGCTGGTCTGTACTAGATTCCATGTTGTCCTGTCCTATGGAAATCTTACCATCCTTCAGTGGCAAACTCAAGATCTACTTTGTCCTCATCTGTGGAGTTTTTTTTGATCACCAAAGCTGGAAGTGATGTTTATCTCCTCCAAATATCCCTTGATTGTGCTCTATTTGTATCACATACCTGGTACTTTTAACATTGCCTAGTGTTGCAGTTAGTAGATGCAGGTTCCATTCTTCCCACTGGAGTGTGAGCTCCTTGAGGCTTCTTTTTATCCCAGCACTTAACACAGTGCCTGGTACCCAATAGGTCTTTAATAAATGTATGTGACATTCAAATGAATTCTTTGAGGACAGAGACCATGACTTATAAATTCTTATATCATTATCTTACCAGGATTGTTTCTTATACATAGAAACTATTTCTTGAATATTCATGGAATGAATGAATGATAACTGTAATAGTGAAATGACCAAGGTTCTTTACTGTAGCAATTTATACCATTTAAAATTTGTAAATCTGGATAACCAAACCTTTTTATGCTGAAAAGGAGGGACCAAACAAAGCAGAAGAACATGGGCTATTGAAAAACTTTCCTAAAGAGTTTAGCAGTACCAGCTTTCCAAAACAAGGGGGCCAGCTGAGTTATAGTGGATGTATTAATCTATTTTGTGTTGCTTATTACTGGGAACTGGGTGATTTATAAAGAAAATGACATTTATTGCTTATAGTTTCTGAGGCTGGGAAGTCCAAAGTCCATCTGGTGGTGGTGACAGCGAACCAGAGGTCTCACATTGCAAGATGGTGGAAGCAGAGAGAGAGAGAGACAGACTCTCCTCTTCTTTTAAAGCCCTCAGAACCACACCCCTGACCACCATTTTCAACCCATTCACTACCGCATGGTCCCACAATCCAATCACCTCTTCAAGGCTCCACCTTTCAATTACCGTAATAGGATTTCCCACCCCTTTAACAGTCACAGTGGGGACTAAGTTTCTAACACATAAAACGTGGGGGATACAATTCAAGCTTCCATGAGTTTTGGGGGGACATAATTCAATCCGGTACAGTGGAAAAAAAAAACCCGACTGGAAATTGAGAAACTGGGAATCCAGGCTCAATTTTATTAACTGGCTTATATAGCTCTGAACTGATCACTTACCTCATTTGTGAAATGAGAGGATTCCATTCAGGGGCCAACAAACTTTTCTATAAAAGGCCAGATAATAAATGCTTTAGGCTTTGGGGGCCACATACAGTCTCTCCTGTATACAGTCTCCGTCACATATTCTTCGTTTTTATTTTTACAAGCCTTTGAAAATGTAAGTACCATTATTATCTGTAGGCTGGATTTGTCTCAAAGGCAATAATAGTTTGCTGACCTCCAGATTAGATAGTCCTTTCCAGTTATATAATTCTGTGAAATGGGAGGCCAACAAAACACACAACACTAGAGCATCAGTCATTCAGCATTGTGATTCCCAATATTCTGGCCTACTTAGGAATGCCTCCCTGAGTATATACTGAAGTGGAGAGAATTTAGTTCTGCTACTTAGGTAGGGCCAGAGGAATATTTTCCCCTGTCTTATGTCCAAGAATAACTTGTTTCACTCAGTGTAGATGAGTTGGAAAACTGAGCTCGTCAGCCAGTACAAATTCCAAGTCAATTCTGGGAACTGTCCTCTCTCATCAAATTCAGTCTTTACTTTGAGGATTTGGGCTGAGTCATGCCATGACAGGTAGACATAGATGCACAGCTGAAGCTGCTCTCATAAACCTGATCCACTGTGACGTGCTCAAAGGAAGAGGATTTGGTTTTAGCATTGCTGTTTTGCTGGTTTGTGTGTGACTCATATTAATGGCTTTTTTTTTCCCCTAAGGTTTCTGTTTTCATGGGAGTCTTTCATAATTTATGTTTAAGTTAGTGTTCATGTTCGTGCTCAAAGGAAGAGGATTTGGTTTTAGCATTGCTGTTTTGCTGGTTTGTGTGTGACTCATATTAATGGCTTTTTTTTTTTCCCTAAGGTTTCTGTTTTCATGGGAGTCTTTCATAATTTATGTTTAAGTTAGTGTTCATGTTTTCAAACATTTAACTTTTTTGGATGTTTTCAGACTGGAAATCCCCCCCAGGAAAAGTTTCCTAGTGTTGCTGAGCTTTACTATACTATTTAATACAGTAGCAGGCTGACTCTACACTTACATTTTGGTGCCTGTATCTAGAGACTAGCCTGCCCAGATACAAAGAGACCTGTATGTTTGCTGGTGAAAAGTGCCCCAAGTCAGAAAATAGAGAGCTTTAGTAATAAAGTTAATTTATATTTGAAAATAGTCTCTATATGGAGTTTAATTTTTTCAGTAGCTTAAGATAGGCTCTAGGAAATTCTTACAAAAGGAAATCTGAAATATTGAGCACTGTTAATCATTTTATTAAACTTAAAAGTTCATGACATTTATCAAACCTGTCTCCGCACAGAATAGTCCCGAATCTTTTAAAATCTGTACTACATTAAGAGAAGAAGCTCTAATCAAAGGCGAAGTTCTCTCCAGGAGAGCATATTGTTTTGTGGTGGCATTAGCTCTGAATCAGGTAAGGATTTGGGCTGCACATTAGTAAACTGGGAGTAGGCAAGACTTTACTACTTTCATTTGTTCTTGCTTTTATTTTATCTTTTCCTTCTGACTGTATTGTAAGGAAAAAATCCCCACAAAGAGACCAAGGCCTTTGTTGCCATGGCAACCTACATCTATATCTATGCTTGCAAAGAATGTTTCCATTTACAGTTGAGCACCTAACATGTATTTCTATTTAGAAGGGGTTGGCCAAGATCCTGTGGAGAATCAGGAGGGAAGCTGCACTCTGGGAGAAATTTCTCAAGAAATTAACAGGAAAATTGCAAATGATCAGTTTATTATGTAACATTCTCAGAGAGCAGTTTAAAGACTGAATTCACCTTAGATGAGTGAGGACTTCTGGGTCAGTCCATTGCAGAAGTGGGGTTCATCATCTGTTTCACAGTTAGACCCAACCACTATTACTTGGATGAGCCTTCAGCAGTCATTTAGCTTCCTCCATTACTGGACAGATGGAGGCACCTGAGGCCTAGAGAGAAGAGGGGACCTCCCTGAGGTCAGACCTCAGTGAAGGACACAGAGCTAGAACCCTGGAACACCCCCTCTCTTGATGAGCCACAACTATGAGATGCCCTATTTTGAGGCCTAAAAAATATGAAATACTTAACATGTTTGACATATAGTAAGAGGAAATTTTATGGCAGAAAAGTAATAACCAAGCCTGGGTTATTTACCCAGCTGGTAAAATATGGCAGGAGAAATTCATAAGAAATCAAAATATCAGGGTGATCCATTTCCATAAATTGCTGGGAAAAGTCATTGAAGAACAAAGACTTAAGAGGATACACACTTACCAGGCTTCCACTGGGTCACGATTATTTCTTAAACTTTCTAAGCTTCAGTCTCTGTCCAGGGAAATTGTCTTGCCTTCTTAATCTGCCATGAGCAGAGTGAGATGAATTGAAGTCTATTCTAAGGCATGTGTTTCTATTTCCTTTTGTAACTCCTGTAGTTTTTCCTTTATGTGCGTGTAAATTATACCATTTGGTGCACCACTGATATACATCATCATTATATTATCATTGTGAATTTCTCACTTTAGCATCATAAAGTGCCTTTCTTAGTCATATCTAATGCATTTGCCCTGAATTCAACCTTATCTAATATTAATATGTCCACCTCTGTTGTGTGTGTTTGTGCTTTTGTCTTTGTTTTGATTAGGTTTGTATTTGCCTGATATACACCTTTTCCTATCTTTTTTTTTTGGCAGTCTTTCTGAATTGTTTTATTTTAGGTGTATCTCTTAAATACTGCATAAATTTCAACTTTGCTTTATAACACGATGCTAGTCTTTCTTTCATTAGAACCCATTTATATTTATGTGATCTTAGGTCTCATTTTATTTGATGCTTTCCATTTTTTTAACTTTCAAAAATCTTATGCCGTGTGGTTGTTTTCTGTGATTTGTATTTTTTCCTCTAGTGTTTACTTTATTTTTTACTTTTTTATTTTTATTTTTTCCTTTTTGTCTTTTTTACTGACCGGTAGCGGGATCACAACCCTTGGTGTCGTGCTCGCACCGGGGACCGGCAACGGGATTGCAACCCTCGGTGCTGCACCCGCACCACGCTCAGCCAGTGAGCAGGAACCGGTCTCCACATGGGATCCGAACCCTCGGCGGGAGCGCCGCAGTGCTCTCAAGCGGCGCACTCTCCAGTGCGCCACCAGGCCGGCCCAGTGTTTACTTTAAAACCATAAGTTTTTAATTTTCTTAATCGTCTAATTCCTTTAACAATCCTATTAAGTTCCTAGTATAAGTGACAGTAAAATTAGCACATTTCCTTTCTTTTACCTCTTATTTTCCTCTTCCACCCAATTTAGTTGATATTGTATCTTTCATAGTGTTCACTTTTCTTTTAAATATACTTACTTTGTCAGCTTTAAATGATATTTTTTAAAGATGAGGAAATGGGGGTACTTTCTCTATCTTCTTTTTCCCTTTCGTCCTGACTTATGTTAGTATTCTTATTTCTTCATTGTCTAGGTGAACAACATTTACACTTTGTTCTGTAATGTGCTTTAGTCGTATACACAGCTAAATGGGTTCATTGTTCACTGCTAGTTGTTTTGCTGTTGTTTTCCAGGCTTCTCTTTGTTGGCTGAAGTGTGTCTTATAGTAAATTTTTCGGGGGAACAATGTTCCCTGAGTTCTTGATATTTAAAATTATTTTATCTCCTGGGTTTTTTTTGTACTTGAACTGTAGTTTGGCCAGATTTAAAATTTTTAGGTGATGCCGGCTTTTCTTAATGTTTTCTTAGACTTTGCTCTTCTGTCTTCTAGTATAGAATTGTTGTGAAGAAATCTGAGGCCTGTCTGATTTTTTCCCACTTCTGATTGACATGATCTTGTTCATTTTTCTTATTTCTGTCTTCTGTATCCATGGAAACATTTTATATTGAGGTTTCTTCATCTGCTAAATGTTTTGTTACTTGGTTTAACTGTGTTCCCTTTTTTTGGTCTTGTCTTTGTGGAGGTCATGTGTTGGTTCTTTTTTGATTATTCATCATTAACAAATGTGTTTCTCTTACACCAGCCATTAACAGAAGATTCACGTCAGGGAAAAAGAGACCAGAGCCCTGTTCTAAACCGGCATGATTTTTCTTTATATAACTTAGAGTTTTGTCCACAAGTATGTACAGGCTTTATTTCTCCCTGGCCAATGGGAATAGGCATTGAGGTGGTTTTCAGTGAGCAATTTCTTCTCTGCTGCCTCCCAGAGACATAACTGCCCCTTTTAAATATAGCCCATCTATGGAAATCCTTCATTAGCCTTCCCTCCACCACTACAAGGATCCAGAGAAGTTCTCCTTACTAGTCCTAAACTCTCTTCCCATCATTATAAACAGGAATTTAGCTTTTGTACTTGAGGTCATGCCCTCCCCTTTGAGAACTGTACTTTGTCAGCTCTTTCTGAGACATGCAGCAGTGTCCCTTGTTTCTCTCTCCTGAATCTCCCCAGGTTCTATCTCCAGAGTTTCTTGCAGTGCTCCTACAAGTGTGGTCTGAGGTTACTCTGTCCCAATTATGTCAAAGACAGGGTTTTCATTTGCTTCTCATTCCTGATTTTTTTTTTTTTTAGCTGATTCCAATAAGAGAAGGAGAAATGCCAACTTTATGCCTCCATTTAAAAACTGGACTCAGGAAGGTTGTTAAAACGTTCAATAATATGCCACTGGATGAAACATTTTATGGGATGTTTATTTTGGGTTACCAAACAACTTTTTTTCTTTGTGTTACTTCAAAACCCTGGGACCCCATGAATAGGAATATCCTCCTTTTATGGTCTTTATCATAGCAGAGTAATGTTCTTGTTCTTTTTTCTAGAACCAGGTGGCAAAAGCTATGTCCATGTTTTCTCAAATCATGTATCCAGAAAGCGTAACCTGCACTAATTTAAATGTAAGTGACTTCTTTATGGTTTAAAGTAAGATTTGAGATGTAACAAAATGTTTAAATGTTTTGTCTGTGTACAGTGACTTGATCTCCCAAGGTCTTCATTCAATTCAAATGAACAGTCATTTATTTCTCTATGTGAAAGTTACAGTATCACCCTGTTGAGATGAGTAAACACAGCTGTTGATTCCAGGAGTTTATAAATAGGTGGGAAAGGTAGATATGCTCAGATATAAAACATGGCTAGATGCTGCATATATGAGACATGACTAAGAAGGCTGTAGATGTAGAAAGAAGGAGGGAATGGAGATGGACTCTCCAGTCTCTTTGCTGGGCCTTAAAAGAAAGCTGCATGCTAATTGCATCCCATCCATGGCACCTAACTTATGGCATCTTTGTGATTAATGAGCACCTATAGTGCATAAAATAGTGTCTGACCCATGGTAAGCATTGAGTAAATGCTAGCTACTTTCATTCTTATTATGTTGCCAGTCTGCACCCCCCTGACTTATCTGGGCTACTTGTGTGACTTGTTTGGGGCCTTGTTGTCTGGGTCAGCAAGGGGCTGCACTGTACCACCAAGACATGCAAAACCTTAATCCCTAAAACTATGAACAAAGAACAACATTTTAAATTCCTCACAGATTCACAGGATTCACACCAATAATAAAGTTCAAAGCATGTCCTATTATCACTCCCAATTTTTGAGCAGCAAGTCACCTAAACCTCCTTGGACCAATGGAAAAAAGAGCTATTTTGTCGTTAAAGACACAACAGCCCCCATTCAGCGAGTCCCTACTGAGGCACTACTTGTATGCTGAGTCCATCTGTGTTGTGGGAGGTTGCAAAAGAAAAGCCCCTAACTTTCAAGAGCTTTTAATCTCCTGAAACAGTCAAGGGGTTGAGATGAGGAAAACATTTTCAAAAGAACAGAAATGTGTAAATACTAGTGTGGCACAAACTAGGATAACAGATCAGAGCTGGTGGAGTAGTCCAAGATGGGGGAGTGAAGGGAAAGACAGGGCTGGCCAGTGGGAGCAAACTAAGGGGATTGTAGGGAGGAAATCATTGTTGAGCAATGTTCTGGAGGAGGACAGGCCAATGGGAGTGGAGGGATAGAGATAGAAGGGAATTCTTTGTTGAGAGATTGTTTTTGGTGAGGCTTCTGTTTAAAAAATATAAATTATTAATTGTTGCCACCTCTTTCTGGCTCTGAGTCCTTAGGTAAGTTACTTCACCTCTAAGGACCCTAATTTCCTTTAATCTGAAACAGTAATTTTGACTCTTCCATCAAAGTTTTTCTTCCTGAATGATTCGAACTGCAGTATAATTATTCTATCTGCTAGCTCTCCCTCAAACCCTCCAAGTCCCATTTTCTCAATTAACACAGAAAACATAAACTCCATGACAGCAGGAACTATCTCCACCAGTGTTCTATTTTTAGCCCCTGAGGGGGAAAAAAAGCCTGGCAGAGTGGGTATTCATTATGCATTTGTTGAATGAATGAAATATCTAGAAAATTGGTGGTAATAGTAGCTATCCTTTTGTTGTGAGTATTGAAAGAAATAATGCAGATAAAGTAATTAGCATAGTACCTGGCAAGTAGTCAGTGTTCAAAGAATGTTTGCTAATACTGGTAGTCTTTGTTTGACATGAGGTTAAGTTGAATAAAAAGAAATATTCACTTGTAACAAATTGTAGAATCCAATAGGAATTAGGCATAACTCCAAGCTTCCAGGGCCATGGGAGAAATAGTAACACTTAAATATAATGATAAAGATAAAGATAATGTACTTAAGCTACACTTAAAGTAGCTCCTTGACTTGGTGTTGTCAGCACCACGCTCACCCAGTGAGCTAACCGGCCATCCCTATATAGGATCCAAACCCGTGGCCTTGGTGTTATCAGCACCACACTCTCCCGAGTGAGCCACGGGCCAGCCCGATAATGATGATTTTCAGTTCTGCCCATAGTGGTTATCCTCAAATGTTACCCCCACACCAGTGCACAGATGACTTTCAACAGAAGGACTAGATAAGCCTTTATGGTAAACTTTGGAGACTTTTTTGGTTGGACAAGAAGTCTGAGATAAGAATACCTTATGTTGGACCTCACATTAACTTTTCAGAATGCTTTTTCACATGAAGGAAGGATGAACCAGGCAGATAGAGACAGTGCTAATGGAGAACCTGGAAAAAAAAAGAGATGAGTTTTGAAGGAAAGAGACTAAATATTAGAAAAATATCCACAAAGAGACTTGAGTTTACAAAGGGCAGGTACCTGGAGAGGGGATGAGTGTCAAAGCTGTCAGTTCAGAGCTTATCTGTATGCACCCTGCAATGGGTCTGATATGAACCGATGAATGCCAAAGGGAAGAAAGAGAACTCAGAAAGGAGTTTGTAAGGCTTTAAGGGTGAGGCAGAGGAAACATTAGAAAAGATAGGGAAGAAATAGTAACTGTGTAGAAATCCAAGTGGGTTGAGAGCCCGCCCTGCCATACCCCACTGCAGATAGCCCCTGTTCTAAGACTGGGGGCCAAAGCAGAAACTGCATGTCAGAGCAGGTGGGTCAGCCTGCAGATGGGTTGAGAGCCCGCCCTGCCATACCCCACTGCAGATAGCCCTTGTTCTAAGACTGGGGGCCAAAGCAGAAACTGCATGTCAGAGCAGGTGGGTCAGCCTGCAGAGTTCACAGGCTCAGGCAGGTCTGAGAGGCCAAGGCTGGCGAAGGTCCAGAGTCCAAAAATTCAGGTCTTTTGAACCAACAATACCAGTAAGCCTGGTCTTCCAGCAGACACCATACATCTTTGATCATCTTCTTTACTTTCTACTGGATATGGACAGCTCTGGTATCCCAGAATATAATTGCTTCTGAGAGAGAGAGTAGCCTGGAGATGTGCTAATTTCATGATGAACAGAAGTTGAATTGCTGAGATTGGCAAAAGACTTCCACTAAAGCTAACGCTATTTAAATGGTATCAGGTAGGAAAGAAATATAGGAGAGCATGGGGAGAGCATTTGGATCATTAATAGCTTTTCCCAGAGTTGAAGTGAAGTTGGGGGGATTAATAAGGATTGGTGGTGAGAACTTTAAGAGAGAGAGATAGGTAGGGTTTTAATTTAATTTAGCTAAGGTAACATTGCTAGGTTCCTTACATTTATTAGTTCATTTTATACAACCCTGTCAAAACATTATTTCTCCATGTTACAGATTGGAAAATGAAGGTTCAAGGATAAGTAAATTATCCAAATTTTCACAGCTAATTAAGTAGCAGAGTCAGGATTTTAACACAAACAACTCTGTGAAGCCTAGGGTTTCCCCACCACTCCAGACCTATAGAGATGAGGAGGATTGTGCCTTCTTTACCCAGGACTGGGACTAGCTGCTCCTCCAGAATAAGGAAAAGAACACAGGACTGGACGTCAAAAATCATGATTGCCACTATCACGGGTAATTCACTTCTGTGGATTTAGATTCCTCATCTCTTTCAGTCCTTGCCTATCTCTCAGTTATTACAAGAATCTAGCAGTGATTTTTTTTCAAACAAGAAAGTGCTTTGGTGGACATAAAACATGAGCATGCCAAGAGTGAAGCTGTCCATTCCCAGTAGGAGGAGAAATGCAGAGTATGTGGATAGAGCGTGGTGCTCGTGGGCCAGGGAGTGGGAGCAGCTCCTTTTCTCTGACAATTGGAAAGGAAAGTCAGCCGAGAAACAGGGTGGGATGGGAATGTTTCAGGCAAGGACTATGTAAGGAACCTTGAATTGATCTTGAATATGAATCATCCTCTCCACGAACTGCGTTACAGAATTACCCACTGTTTGGAAACTTAAAGATAGTTTTATTGTTTAAAAATTCTCAGGAAATTCTTCCAAATGTCCAATCTGAATTTCTCATGTTACATTATAAACCTGTTTCATTTTCTTCAGGGATGTTGAAAAAGAGATGGTTGCCATTCTCAACTTTAGTAATCTTTCAAATTCTGGGTCCCTGTTATTAGAGCATGTTTTTAAAAAATGACTTAATGGGCCTTAGCTTCTCCAAAGCTGAGTCATCTGCTTGAAATCCTTCAAGGCAATTTGTTAATTATTAAGAAATGGAAAACTGACAAATATTAGAGAGGCTGTTCAGTCAGTATTAGCAAATAAATGAAGTGTTTTTTTCTGATCTACTTTAAAAATTAATACCTTATGCTAAAATCTTTTGCTGCTGCCAATTGGAATTTGTACTTACCTAATTTTCCTTCTAACTTAATTTTCTTTTTATCTAAATTGCTCCTGCTGCCAATATGACACAGAGGGGCTGGGTTCCTATCTTCCCAGCTAAAACTTGCTCCCTACTGCCTCAATTTAGCAAGATGATCTCATCAAGGCACACATGTGTTGACTCTGCCCCTTTAGTCTGAATTTAAACCCATCAGTCTCAAAAGAACTATAGGCCCTTTTTAGCAATGCTGTTTGGTATCAAAGGGTTAATTTCCACTTCCAAATATGTCTGAAAGCAGCAGAGACCAACACTGATTCTGTTTGAATTCTAATCATTTCTCTAGAAATCTGGCATTTCTCCAAGTGGAGATTCATTTTGGAAGTGAATTTACCTTGCAGGGGAATTGACAAGTGGTTAGTTTTGCTGTTTTTATTATTATTTGTTAACACAGTGTTTTAACGCTCTTTTCCAAGTCTCCTAGGCTGCACAGGTAGGAAAGTAGACAGGGCTTATTTCCATTATTCCATGATGTCATCAGGGACCTGGCCTTTTTCTGTATTTCCACTCTGCCATCCTAAGCACATTACTTCTATACATTACGTCCCTGTTCTAACAAGAAGTAGGGAAAATTGGAGAGGACAAAAAAGTTGGTCCCTTTTAAAGATGCTTTTCCAAATGTCTCACCCAACAACTTGTACTTACATGTTATTGGCCAGAACCTAATTTCACGAGCACACTTAATTGCAAAGAAAACTTAGAAATACAGTCTTTGAGTCCTGTACATGACAGCATCAATTAAAGTTAGGGAGTTCTGTTATCAAAAAAGAAGGGGAGAATGGATATTGGTTAGCAAACTAGCAGTCTTTACCACACTATGATATTCTGCTTCAAATGCAACAAATTTTAAAAGAAAATAAAAGAAACAAAAATGCAAATTTCTGTATGCTCAGGGCTTCTGTTCCCTTTTTTGGTCAAAGGTTTCCAGTGGCTTGTTATCATTTCCTAAGTCCTCAGAAAATCAGAGAGGCAGGAAGTATGTGTTCTTTAAATAGTTTTTCCTACCAAAATTGCCCCTGTTCCTTTCTAATTCAATTCCTCTAGTCTTTTATTTGAAATCTGTAAGATTCAAGCAGTGTGTCATACCCTGCTTCAGTTTTCCTCAACTGTACCCTGAGTCTTTGGTTTGAGACAAGCCCCTAGCTTTAAAATTTCTCTTTATCTTTTGTGTAACTGCCTCATGCGTATTGCCCTTCATCAGTTTATTTTAAGGTAGTGAACCTTATTCTTGAAATCCCTACTGAATCAAAGATGGTTGCTGGAGGTAGGGAGAGAAATTGGGAAAGCTGATGAAGAAAAGTTGAAATCTCCCAGGAACACATAATTTCTGGCATAGGACCCTAGATGATTTATCTTTGTAAGTTGCTAGGGACCCATACTTCCCTTCTCATTATTATTATTGAGGGCCATCTATGTGCCAGGCACTGGAGATGTAGCATTCAACAAAGTAGACTTGTCCTTGCCCTAGAGAGGACAGACCACTGCCAAACAAATTGGGATCGGTTTTTATTAACAAGGGTATTAAGAACTGTGAAGGGTCAGAGATTTTATTGTACTTGCAAGCTAAGGAGTTAGCCTGCCCCAGTTTTATGGATCTAATGGAGTGCACAAGACACCAAGAGATGAAGAACAGTTTATTATGCGATAGCAGTAGCCAGAGTATTAGGATTTTCACATCAGTTCCCTGAGTCCCTACCACAGGGATGGATCTAATGGAGTGCACAAGACACCAAGAGATGAAGAACAGTTTATTATAGCGATAGCAGTAGCCAGAGTATTAGGATTTTCACATCAGTTCCCTGAGTCCCTACCACAGGGCAACAGGAAGAGGTCTATATGCCTCTTGCACACACAGGAGCTTGCATTTTAAGAGAGGAGCCCTGCGTTTAGGGATCTAAGATCTCTTATAAGGTGCAGGAAGCATGTCTGCCCTTTGCTCTTGATGAGACACTGTGTCTGTCTTCCAAGACTGTTAGTTATGCAAACATCCTTGAAAAGGTAGTCTGAAATAAAGGTAGTCAGAAGTAAAGGCAGTTAGTGCTTTTGCTCGCAAAATGAAGAAATGCAGGAGACCCATGGAGAGTTGCTCGTGATTTGCCTGTGCTTCAGAACAATGAATTTAGCTCAGATTGTTTGGATTTAGTCTACTTAGAGTCATTTCATTCTGTTCTTCAAGATACCCCTCATCCTGATTCACTGTTCAGGAAACATAAAATGTCACAGAATAGACTGGTGAGATACAGTTGGTTCAATAAAAAAAGGAGTATCTCTAACAGAAAACTGCCTTTTGAAAGGATCAAGAGCATTAAAAATGTTTATATCCTTTGACTTGGTAATTTTACTCCTGGAATTAAGTCTAAGAAATTAACAAGTTTTTTTGTTGTTTTTTTTAAGTGTATATATGTTGACCAGTGTAATAAAGTATGGTATATTTCCATTATGAATTGCTAGGCATTTGTTAAAAATGAGGTTTTTAATAGATCTGCAACACAACCAGCGCCACTTTAGATAAGCCCAAGTACAAAATGGCGCCACCCACCTCCTCCCCTCCCCTACCCCCTTCCCTTCTTTACAAGAAGCCCCCTGACTTAAACAGAAACCCCTCTTGCTTCTGCAAGGACGCAGTTCTCCACCCTGATCCACATTAGCATAATGACCCTCCTTGATGGTATCAGCTGTCCCGACCCACGGGATATTCAACGCAGACCCTGGAGGGGGGAGTGGGAATTGGATGGGACAAGAGACGCGAGAGATG